TAGGGTGAGAGTGCCTTTTAAGGGAAGAAATAAAGCTGCTTCTACATATTGGATCACCCACTATGTAATGAATCACACAAGCCTGCTATTTCTTCTCCAGCTGATTCAGAACAAAGTTCCAAAATCAGAAGATAAAATAGGTCTTAAGATTTTTTGTCTATTTGTTTACTTTTGAAGAAAAAAAGCTGTGTACACTCAGAAAGCTGAGTGATTTTGGTCAGTGTCACTGTATAAGGACATTGATGATAAGTTGGAAAGTGTCAGAGTTCCTCAGTATACATCACAATAAATTAAAACATATGAAAATTCTACTTTTGGTGGGAATACACCCCATAAAGTTTCTGGTTTAACAAGGTCTCAATTACTGATTTTTTTCATGTCTGGAATGTCAGGTATTTTTGCCTGGCCAAAGCTCCACTGAAGTTCAGTAAAATGTTACTTGCCAGTAAGTTTCAGAAAATTGCCTATCAACCTACTTTGGAAAGAGGGTGGCTGAAGTAAGGTGGAATTAGACACATTTATTTTATTAATATGGCATAGTTACATCACTGAAAATTCTAAAAAATGGAACTTCATAAAGTGGCTCATGCATGAGTTGCCAGTATTTTGGATCTGAAGAATCTGTTTTGAAATCTGGTGATGCTGGGCTGTCTTGGCTAGTAAACCTTCTTGATTAGTCCACACTCATCAATCTGTATCAGAAAGAAGGGCTGACAAATCTTTCCAATAAACACAAAGCACGTCCTAAAATTAATAAGTGCCATTCCAGCTACCTGTGTGTAAAATACAGTGAACCTAACAATGTGAATTGTGCTATGTTCTTATTTGAGGGAATACTAGGAGATATGTAATATATGCAATCATTTAGTTGTATTTCAAACTGCCTTGAGGTTCCTTTTTTAAAGATATTTTTCTTTCAGGAGGAAGGAGTTAGCCCCTTTGTGGAAGACAGCAATAGAATTTAAAAGCTGAGGCTAATGTGGAATTGACACAGTATGAAACATAAAATAAATGGTATATAACAGCTTTCAAGATGGAAACAACAAAAAGCTTCATCAATGCAAACCAGAATTCTGCAGTTTTCATATACATATTGAGATGGTTTAGTAAGAAAACCATTTTTATGAATACCAAAAGTTCATAAGCATAGGAAAATGATGATGGTGTTAAGAGTTGTTTGATGAATAAGAATGTACTGAAACAACTTCTTCACTGAGAATTTAAAAGATTTGTTTTTATCATGTTTGTACTTCTAAATAAAGTCTTGAAAATGTATTAACTTGTAAACTGTACTTTTGATAGCTTAGCAATCTTTCTACTCTTTAACATCATGTGCTTTTAAAATGTCTTATGACTGTCTGAAGTTATATTCCAAATACATAGGGTAGAGATAGCAATATAAAGACATTTAAGCTTAAGATTCAAGTAGTGTGATGAGTGTCAACAGTGCAGTTGCAGTTACAATTGGTAGCTCCATGGTGGAGCCAAAAGCATGAGCTTTACACTGAGAGAGAATCAGAAACATAACATAAGTGTGAGAGCATCCAGCTTTCTACAGAATCACTTTGTTCCAGCATACCCTATAGAACAGTGATTTCTTGAACTAAGCTGCAGCTGAAGTGTGTCAGGAAATCTATTTCATTAACTGAAATAGCTAGCTGTTTGTAGAGTGCCAGTCATCAAGTTTCATTGCTGCTGAGTGTAGATTATATCATAAGTATACCACAGCGAGGGGGAAATTTCCATTTCAGAAGGGAAATCATACAAACAAAGCGATTCCATGAAGATTTCAGACTATAATCAAGTGTCCTGGGGACAATAGGCATCTTTGATTTTAGATAAATACTTTCATATGCCAATGAAAATTACCATTCAGTGTAAAGCATCTTAATTGAGATGAAGTGCATAAGTCATTCGTTTGCTAAAGTATCATTCCAAAATTAGCTTCATAAAGCAGAGTATTTTTCTTATTCACAAGCATATTTGAAAATACAAAGTGCCATATATATCAGTTTTTAGTAAAGCCTTAATCTCATTTCCGAAACCGAAAGTTGTTTTGTTCTTTGAAATGATTATTTTTTAAGTATTATAAACTTTAATGTTTAGCTCCATGTTAAAATAATATGAGGAAAAATATGCAAAATAAAAAAAGTTCTACATTATTTTATACTAGCTATGTACAGTTGTCTCATTAAAAAAAAAAAAAGGCATCAAAACTGAGTAATGAGTGAAGCTTGAAGCTGCTCCCCATATCCAGTTAAGATAGATTACTCTTAGAAGGAGAATGGATGTCTCCTAACGCATTTCTTCTTGTCACACTGGGGATACCCAGAAGAAAAAACACTATCATTTACTATATTGTTTGTGAATTTGTGGAAATAGAGTTCAGCTGTCAAGTTATTACTCTGGATGAACCACTGAGTGTCACAGACAATCAAGCCTATTTGTTGCAGGCATAGGACGACAGTCTCTAAAACCAATTAAAAGCTATACATTGGAAAGAGAGGGCTGCTTCTTGTTGCATGAGGCAGTAAAATTTTATGGTTTTGTGAACTTTCACTTGGAAAATTTCTAAAAACTGTGTTATCAGAAGAACTCACTTATGTCTACTTACAGTGGATTTCTTCTTATTCTAAAGCAAGCAAAGAGAACTCTGAGTTGAGGAGCCCAGGTTTCAGTTCCTTGTTACAGCTGGAGAAGATTCCTTTGACAGTGCCCAAGTTTTGCCTGGCTGATGTAAAGAATTAGCAGCATGCTCCCAGGTTTCTTAGACAGTGTCCTCACTGGTAATTAACACTCTAGGAATGACATTTATTCCTCCTTTAAGAGTGGTAACAGGGTGTCACTTCTACAACTTTCCAGAGATAGAATTTTCAGGCCTGTGCCCTTTAAGAATACTTATAAAAGCAAATGAGCTATGAAAATGGGTTAAGTGTTCATTTGTATGTATGACAGTCATTCAGTATACTAGCAATTAGGGAGAATATCAAATTTTAGGTTGCATATGCAACTGGCATGCACATCCTGTACTCATTTTGGAAAGGGTACTTCCTATTCAGAAGTAGAATACTAACAGAGAACATTTTCATACATAGCTGGTGGCCTATCAAACTTAATCCATCTCCATTCATTTAAACCATTCATTTAAATGTGAGGGAACACTAGCTATTGAAATATACATTGTGAGTTAGTAGTGAATTTCCATTTGTCTTAGTGTTAGAGGTTAAGTAAGCTCTGAAGTGAGATCAATCCTGACAAGTACTGTTTGAACTAAATATACCTTTCTAATTTGTAAGCTCTTCAGTTAAGAGATATATCTACTTATACAGTATTTCACAGATGGAAGACAAAGAACTGGAAGCATTACTACAGGTAAGGTAAGAGTAAAGGCTCTTAGTAGTAAGTACAAGACACTGTGGTAATTGCTGGAGCAAAAGTAAACATGCAACACTAAATTGCATGAAATTATAAAATTTTGTGATGCCTCTAATAACATCCTTTGCCATCAGATACCTACTTCAATAGAAAAAGATTTAAGGATATTAGCAAAGTATTTATTGCAGCACAGTTTGTTATTGTGAGTGCTACAGGCACACAACTATTAGCATAGCTGGTGTAAAGTGGAAGATCTGTTTTTGCAAAATAGTGTTACCACATCCCCATAGGGCAGGAGACTAGCCAGTGAGAACAGGCTGCATTTCCACTGATTATGATAATGAACTAATGATCTCAGAGGCTAGCTGGACATCAAGGAGTTTCTTGCATTAGCAACAGGGAGAAAAGGGTGCTTAGATGACAACTGTCATGCAAACACCTACTCAGCATATTGCAAACAAGTTCAGCTGAGCTGACAAGGAATATAAAAGTGCTTATATAACAAATGCCAGTTGTTTTGCTAAGGAAAAGAACTGTTATGACTCATGAGAAGAGCAAAGAAATTACCTGAAATCTGGGGGAACAAGTCAGTGTAGTGCAATGCTAAAAATTCACCAATATGCTCCCAAGAAAGACAAAAAAAAAAAAAAAAAGAGCCACTCTCTACATGAAAAATCTATAGCTAAATCAAGTAGTGATAATGCAGAACCTTAAGGCATATGAATTACTGAAGATATGGATCTTTAAAAAACTTATTTAAGAAACTGTTGTAATCAAGAAAGATCATATAAATATTTGAAAACATTTATTTAAAAAAATGTTACCAAGATAATGTAGTTCTTAATTGCTTTTCCAACATGCATAAAGAAAACTTGGATTTTGGGCAATACCATTTGATTAAAGCATGTAGGATACCAACCAGGAGAATTATAGCAACGCTAACTAAAGAAGATAACTTTCAAGCTCAAAAGACATTTCTTTTAACTGCAATTTTATTTTAATTTAGACATCATTATGTTGACTAAAGATTAATAACAGAGGTGGATATTGTTTTGGACCCTACAGACCAACAGCGATAGTGCAGCTGCTCACCTATTTCCCCACAAGGAAAAAGAATATAGTCCCACACGCTAGGAATTGTGTTAGTCCATAGATTTCCAAAGGACTGATTTCCCCAAAACAAAAGTAATCATAAGTCAAACAGGTTAGAAAGCAATATTTAAAGAGAAAGATGTCAAAAGAAATTTGAAAATTCTTTAAAAATAAGATGGCTCCAAGAAAGCAAGAATTGTGCAGTAACAATTTTGTTATCCAGGTGAGAATGACAGCCAAAAGCATGTCCTGGTCCAGCACAATGTGAAGACAGTACTTAACAGTATAAGAAAACAGCAAGAAAGAAATAGAAAATAAATCAATATAAACTTACATTTATATACAGATATAGATATCCAAAAGAGGAAGTTAAAGGCATTATGAAAAATGCATGGTAGAATGGGCTTAACTAATCTCAGTAAGTGGATTTAAACGTTACCAGGTCAAATGTGGTGGCGAGTGATTAGGTGCATCTTCTGATGGACATGGCAAACTAATTCCTTGCAGTGAGAAACCTTGCAACTGCTTTTTTCCCCCTCTGCCTCCACCAGTAATAGAGGTAATTCAAGAAGTGCTTAAGTATCTTCACCGGGAGAAAACACTGCATGGCACTTAAAAAAGGACAAGATTAAGAAACAGGCACTTAAAGTCTAAAATTACAGAAACTCATATGAGAAAATGCATGCAATTCCAATAATGAGTGGGATTTAGCATTGCCATGCTTTATTAATAGGATGGGTAGACCCACCTGCTGTTATTTCTGGAAGACATGATTTATCCAGGAATACCTTTTGGGTTTGGTATAGGGTATCTTGGCAAAAAAAAGGACCAGTTACTGTAGAGGTCAGGCTAAATGTTCTAATAATACCTGCATTCAGTGAAACTTTGAATAATATCATTGCAATAGCCTCTTCTCATGTCTTACTTATTAGAGGAGATAAATCCCTGGCTGTATGCCCTGGGTCTGCTTCATGTTGTTAATCACTTTGTAATTTCCCTTAGAGAATATATTGACTAAATTGCCTCAGTCTCAGAATATGCCTTTCCCCCTTTGTATCTCTATGAAGCATCTTCAGCTTTACTCTGTGCTGAGAAAATAACTTTACTTCTTTTTAATATTTCAGTGTTTAAGACATCTCTCAGTTTTCTTAAATCTGAAATAGCAGACAGATCCTTTGGAGAGAAACTCCAAATTTGCAGAAGGCTTTTAAAACCCTTCCTCCATAGTAACTGGGAAACTGCCTTCCAGAAATCTTCAGTTCCTTCCAATTCTTCTTTCTTCACATCTAATAACACTTCAGAAGAAGTTACCTCTATGAAAAGTAAACTAATAGAAAAAGGAAATTTTCCCTAAATACCTCGCTGGACTAAGTGCCTCAGTAACCTTTCTAGTTTGATCAGTTGGAATGAAAAAAAAAAAAAAAAGTATTATTTTCATGCAGTTTTATCTATGCTGTTGAATACAAAAAAGACAGGACACCAAATAATATTAAAAAAAAAAAATCACAGCTTGCATATAAAACATGACATTTCTCTCTGGAATGCCATGTCATGAGCTGATAATGTTGAAATTCAATAACAATTCTTGGTAAGAAAGCCTAAGGCAGAAATTATGTACTTTGCTGATAATCTGGTGTGAAGCTAGGACAACCAGTACTAATTTAAGAAGGCCATGATGATGGGGGAATCTAATGGATCACCTGCATTAATATATTTTGAACTTCAAAGTGCATGCTTTGATGCTCTTTCCCAATATGGGAGCTGTACCAAGAATTTATACATGATGAAGAGAGGCAGAAAAGAAATTAAAGTGGAAATTATAACAACAGTAAATGTAATAATAACCTTTTCTTATTATAAATTTATTATTATAAATTTATGTGTTAAGACTAATATCCAGAGTTGATTGGGACTCTTAGGAACTGTGACCATTAAGGGTGCTCCCAGGAAAGATCACATTGCATCAAAGTGCATCTGAAGTGCCTCTTTCTGCTGCTAGAGCTGTGAAAAAAGCTGTGGTATCAATCTTACTGACTTTGTCAGTAAAACAGAAGACTAACCTATAAAATTATGTAAAGCATATACAAATGTATGTTAGTTACTACTTTGTGCAATATATAAAATTTCTTTCTGTCTAGGGCTTCAAGGCACAAAGCATTTGTTGGATTTTTCTTTGGACTTCACTCAAATTTAAACTCTCCTTCAGGGCTATAAGATGAGCTGCCCAGAAGAAGCTCAGTGGAGCTTGCAATATAGCAGGTGCTGAATGGATGCGCTCCCTTGCCAGTAGCTGCAGCATGTAGCAAACTTGCCTTTATTGGCTTCTAAGGCAGTGAATCTGCCCTAGTTTTTCAACACAGCCCCAGGCGTGCTACTGATCATTTAGATTTAAGCTTATTGGAAGTTCTAAATGCCTCTCACTGCAGCTACCTGTAGCTTTTCAAAAAGATGCAACTGGCAAGAAATATGCCTCAAATTTAATCTCAGTAAATTGCATTTAATCTACCTACTGTTTGATACAAAATTCTTCTTTGTTAAAAATGCATCCAGCAGCTTTGAAGCAGATTTTGATGAGTATCAGCAGCTGTTTGCAAAAAATTTTCTGTAGATAACAAAGCATCTAAACATTTAGAAGAAATTACTATTTTATATAACCTTGGAAAATAAGGTACTACTGCTTTAGCATTCCAGCAAATAAATTTAGTACCTACCTGTTAAGTATTTCTCTTTAAGTATTTTGGGGTTTGTCCTTTCTCAGGGTACTCTAGAGAGTAATCTAGAGATAGGTTATTATATTTCTTTGTGAGTGAGACAGATAATATAGATACTGTACCATGCACCCAGTTTCTCTACTTTCATTTTACATACATGGAACTTTAAAATTTATACAAACAGTGATATTTTCTAAGGGCTATTCCTGTTTGCCCTATACATATATACGGTCCACCTCAAGCATGAAGTGAAAACTTCTCTGAGATTACCTTAAACATGATTGTATTTGCTCTTAGTGGAAAAATGAACAACTTCAAATGTTTCCAGCAACTAAATATTTAAATATACCTGCTCATTTACCTGGAATAATTATCCAAAGGATGACCAACATATATAGTTGCAACTTAAAAACTGCAGCTGTGACTTAATTTGCTTTGTAATTTGCTGTTAAAAGTGTTGTTTTTGGAAATATTTGGTGTAGATGTGAACAGCTTAATATATGATGATACATGTATCTAAATTTCAGGATTGATAGGATCATTCCTAAGAGTATGCTTTAATTATAACTAAATATTATAGAATTTACCCATAAACTAGATGGATTCTTTCAAAGCATTGAGAAGCAAAGAAAAGTAAAAGAGAGATACCACACCAGCAAAATAAGCAATCAAATTGGTCCAATACTGAAAGATTCTTGGAGAGTCCAATCTAACGTTTAGAAAAGAAAGTCTTTAGTATTTAGAAGTCACTGGCTGAACAAATTTTGATAAAATTTGAACTCTTTCACTTACTTTACTCATAGGAATACTTTTACTGGTGAAATTTATATTCCTTTAATTCTGTAACTTTATGTGTCAGTGCACTGATGGGCCTAAGGGAGCATCTGAAATATAAAACTGGTAAAGACCAGATAGGCTTCAGAAGCAAGCTTAGTCCATCTTACTGACAGGGGTCATTTCCATTAATATCACATCTTAATAACTGTGTCCTTAGACTGGCACAGAGCCCTGCACATTAGCTTTTCTCATGAACCCTAGGATTGAAAGTTGTTTACAAAAAGGATAAAAGCATGACACATGGTTATGAAAAGGCATCCTGCTTGTATTAAGATTGATCTTTTACTTCGGTTCTAAAACATCCCTGTTCCGCTAGGCTGAAAGTGAGGAAAAATTATATCTTGCAGCCAAAATTCATAATTAAGCTATTTTTCAAATATTTCTAGAGCAGCTCCCTCTGGTGGGTAATGATTATCAAGAAGAATATATTAAAAAACAGATAACATCAACTCTCACTCTTCTGCTCTTGTGTTGAAATGACTATTGTAAATAGAAATAGGTATGTCTGAAAAATCCTGCTGCTTCACAGCTATTTGTCCCTAAAGTAATACTCACCACCTAACAGGTACTAGGACTCAGTCAAGGGCATTAGCTGGTCCATGTCAATCTCCCACCACACTTCACAATTCCCTTAATGCATATGAGCTTGCAAATAAAAATGTGGTTTCCCCATCATATTCAGCCTATCAAAGGAAATTAATGAAATCAGGATTGTTAAAACTAAAGCATGGTATATTAAATCAGTGCATTTCACACTAAAAGGAGGCAAAGGGAGCCTACACTGTCAGTTCTTAAGAGATATTTAGCTTTGCTGTAGTAATTTAGTCCCTTTGTTTATCTAAGCTTACCCTAAGGGTTCTCACTCTGGCCTTTACTGCTGTAGTAGTCTATATTGTACAAAATTTCTAAATGGTGAGAACTACCTTCTATTAATCTTTCTTGCTTAGGAAAGGCACAAATGGCTAAGAATAGGAAACATTCTTCTTCATCCCTTACCTGGCTCCTTCCCATGACCATGCACTTCACAGACTGACAATTTTCCTGTTGTGAATTCTGAGCTTTATAATTATTTTTCTTGTGCCAATTAATCTGTAAAAAAAAGTACATAACATGAGTTGTTTGACCTTTCCAGACCTCAAAATTATTTCTACATCAAGAATGAAAAATTATTCTAGTTAACTATGTGAACACAGCTTTCAGAAGAAAGTAAAAAAGAGAGCTCCAATTTACATGAAAAATCTGAATGTTATTGCAACTAGTTTTGAAGTGTTATAAAAGTTTTCTTAGTCCATTGTTAACTGCTACTGAGGAAGTGTCAGACTAGTTCCACTGTCACCTAAGGCAACACTTAAAGGCACAGAAAACATAACTGGAAAAAAATGGCTGAGAGGTTGAGATGTATCACTGACTAAGCAGTGTTATACCTGTATCAATCATAAGGACCATTTTCCTTTATCAAATTGTGATCACCTGTTGTAGAGACATGAGAAAATCATCACCAATAAACTGAATGAACCTCAAAGAGTTGGAGGAGCACCAACTGAAAATGACAGATCAGCACTAGAGGATGCACAGTCATGTTGATTGTCAGACATCACACCCAAAAGGGTTCTCTGTCTTACACAGGGGCCTAACCATCCCCCATAGGTCTGCAAAGGGACTGGACATTTGGCATGAATAGAGTATCCTCCTTCTCAGGCATTCACCTTGCTGATAGAAGTTTGCTAGTCTATGAAAGCAGACACAGTGTGTAAGACCAAATGCCCAATCCTGTTGTATCCTTGTCATACATTGTCCTATGGCAACATGCAGATCCACTCACTATCCCTTTTAAGGAGACGATCCAGAGCACTCTGCAGAGTTTTAGAAAAAAGGAGATGACATAGTTTTATAGAGTGCAAGAATGACTTTTTCAATTTTCTCCTCTTTTTGACTGTGTTTGGATTTTTTGAACATTGTACTTTGAAATTCTGATTTCTTAGAAAGCATTTTTTGTAATGTGGATAGCTTTACATGCTGCAGTCTCATAATCTCATTCCTGAATAATAATAGTCAGCTCAGAACTCATCACTGCACATATAAAGTTCAAATATTTTTCTTCTATTACTTAATACATACTATTATTTTCATCAGCTATTTTGTCACCCAGTCACTCAGTGGTTTCATTATCCCTCTATAATTACTCACAGTTGGTCCTTGTCTTTACTAAGCTCCTGTAATTTTGGCTTAACCATTTGGTCTCTATTATTCAACTGCCTTTCTAGGGTATTTAAGAATACATGAATCATGACAGGTTCAAACAGGTATTCTGGTGGGACTTCAGTGTTGACCTCTTTCCACAGAAAACCCACTATTTATTTCTAGCTAGTAAATAGATTTTATTAACTGAGAACACAGAAATAACACAAGGGTTGACAGCATTTAAGCACCCTCTATGGCAAGAAAATATCATCATATTTCTCAAGTCCTTCACACAATTATCAACAAGTTATATATATATATATATATATATATATATATATATATATATATATATAACAGGTATCTCTGTAGGCTTTACCTACTCTGTAGTTTGTATCTTTTCTATTTCAGAATAAAAAAAACCTCCAAGGAGGGAACTTGTCTTTAGCTTCCATGATTGTTAGAAATTATATAATAATCACCATTTACTTCAGTTATTTCTACTGACTGTGAGAAACAGTTAAGTACTGTTGGCTATTTGTCCAGAAAATAACTGCATGTTTAACTTGCATAAACAATCCAATCCAATTACTTCATCTGGTTCCTGTTGCGGGATGGAATGCCAAATGGGCTCATCAGGCATGTGATTAAAGATGCATATTTGGCTTTCAGACCCGCAACAGGAACCAAATGAAGTAATTGGGATTATTAGTGTAAATTAAGTATTACACTGCAGTGGCACTGCTAAGGTGAGTAAAGATTAGTAAACTGTTTTTAAAATCAGGAGGAGAATAAGTTTTACAACTTTAGCTTTAGCTTAGCTTTAACAGGACAAAAGTTTTTGAAAAGAAAGGGAAATAAAACATTGAATGATGCTGAGCACCAAAAGCAGAGATTTCTATGTGAAAATTGACACATCTGTTTTATTTTGCTTACAGAAGAGTGACAGAAATCACAGAGAAAAACAATAAGATGGTGGAGAATGAATGACGAATAAGAGCACAGATGCTGATGCTAAGAAAAATGTCTCATTCAATCTAACATTATAGCTGGAAGTCCTCCTTTTTCTATATTTTTATATTTGTAGGGAATGTTACTATTTCAAGAATTATTGAGAATCTTTGCCTTATCTCTGACCCTGCAAATAGGTCAGGGCATTTTGGATTCTCAAATCCTTCTGTATGTCAAAACCTAGAATAGACCCATCTGTTCCAGTTTTTATCTGTTTAATTTTTTCTGCTGCGGTTAACTCTTGTTAGAAAATCCTGTAAAATTTGTACTGGGACAACAATGGCAAAGTATATTTGATTATGCCCAGGTTGTTCAATCTTGAACCTAGGTGTTAGAGCAATTATTTCACTAGACTGTGAGACATCCATGTGAGAAATATTTCTCATTCCTTATAATTGTGTGGTAAGGATGTTAAGCATTAAAACCTCCCTACTGTTTTCCAAATACATTTCTTGCCTGAACTCTGAAGCAATTTTTGAATAAGGCAATGATGACTTGTTGGTCCCCTGATATTGATAGTACTGTTTAAATGGCAACTTTTGAATCAAGAACTTCTGTAATCAAGTATTTTCTATAAACCATCTTTAATATAAATACTTCCAATAAAGGATGTTTTCAGACTAGAAAATTTCACCTATAAACAAGGAAAAAAACCACTCTATTTTTGCTGTTACATGAAATTAATGAAATATGATTCATTTAAAGCAGTTACTCATTTATTCTGCTTTGCAGCAAATCACTTGGGAATGTTTGCTGCTTTTAATTTGCCAGGATTTTCTCTTCTACAAATCAAATTAGTAACCAAGTCCCTTGTTAGGGAGAAATATAATGAAACTGGAGTTCATGGGCAGTTAGGCAGAGCTGCCCTAAGCCTTTGTTTCTACTGGGGTCTGCTGCTTGCTAACAAGATGCTGTCATAGGACAAGAGTGCCTAAGGCTTCTGATATGACACAAGTGAGAATTATTGAGGCTACAAAGCTCACTGAACATCCAAATACTGCTTTATGAGCATATTTGAATCACAGCCATGTAGTTTTATTCTTTTGACCATTTCTTGTTATGCAGTTGTACTAAAATATCAGCAATGCTGAAATCTTCCTTTGATATGGATCATAAAACACCCATACTTCTCGTTCTGTATTATGACATTGTCAGCATTTCTGAAGACAAAACTTGTTTTTTTCTCTCTCTCTCACAATGATCCTGTAAATTCTTTTTAATTCACTGTAAACACTTGAGTAGCCCTCAATGACTGCGGCTGACTAGTATATACAGCAGCTGTAAGATCTGACACCAGTTTTAAAAGAGACCACTTTTCTAAGCAGACCCATCCTGGATGCATTCTTTGGAGGGACAGGATTATGGCACGCATACATTACATAGTAACATTGCCTTGAGCATGTCATCAGGAGCGTAGAAGTACATGAAACAGAAAGAAAGGCCTCAAAGTAACACTCCTCAGAGTTCTCCCAGAAAGGTGGGTTTTTTTCATAGAAAGCATGCATTTACGCTGTGTAGTAAATAAGAATGGCATGTTACAATTCCCATTTCTTCCCTGTTCAATAGTGCCATGCTATTCCCCAGAATTCAGCTATTCATTCTAGACTTGTAGGTCAAAAAGGGAGACTATTTTATCTGAACAGCTACAGGGACATCTTTTTCTTGCCGTCTTGGAGATTTGGACTACAAGGATAAAATACTGAAGACCTTTCTTCACCTGAGGCATTAGGAAAATTTCCCAGAGTGAATAAATGCAACTGCAGAGCTGGACTCACTGAGATACAGCAGAAACCTTTAACATAACACAATCTATCTCCTTTTATGGATTACTAAAAGTAATTTACAGATTACATGGATAGGCAATTCATAGCTAGTACTTCAGTTTAGCATTTAATTTACAATGTCAATTGTATGAAGTGTCATGGGTATGTTTCCTGTTTCAGACAAGGAATACTAGAGTTTTGTACAAATCTAGTGTGTAGCAAATGCCGAGATTCAGCACAACAGAGACATACCTTAGTAATTTGGGAAAATATTTCTTCCATTTATCTTGAAACCTGGTTACATGACATTACAAAATGCACTTGAACCATATGACAGAAGTCTAAATTAAAGCACAATTTCTATCTTGTATTTCTTCTCATAAAAGCACTTTGCTGTCCTGCAGTCCAGGAGGGAAAGGGGAGCTTTTGGTCTTGTGTAACCTAGAAACCAGTAAGCTTTACTCTATTCTCCATTATTCTCTGTAGGCAACTTTATTTCACTCTATTTCACTCTTATAGAACTCTACAGTTCCTCTGAGGACTACCTCTAATTTCTCTCTTTGGTGAAACCTGTAATCTGTAAACTTCTCTTAGAATCATAGAAGATGCTGAGTTGGCAGGGACCCATCAGGATCACTGAGTTCAACTCTTGGCCCTACACAGGACACCCCAATAATCACATCAAGGGCCTGAAAGGGTTGACTTGATATAAGATTCTTCAGCTTAAGAAAGACTTTTCTTCTTCCCTGTTTAAAATTTTTTTTTTGTTTTCATTCCTTACCTCTGGACTAGATTTCCATGGCCACTTTGAAATTAAGATTCCTAAAGTAATTCTGGGATGTATTGCCTAAAATAAACGGGAGAAAAATACTCTCCAGACAATGTTAGTATAGATAAGAGAGAGAGCAGCACTTTTAATGAAGGTCTTCTGGCTAAAGGAGTACAAAGGTGTGTGCCTACATACAGAATTCTTGCACTTTTATATCTTTTACTAATTATCATATCTAATGGAGACATCCAATCCTAAGACCCCTTTTGCCTGGGTACCACCCTCAGAACTGCCCCACTGGAGCCCCTCCAAGGGTCTTGAGCTTTCTATCCTTGTTTTGTCTACTATATCTCTTGTTGATCTGGTCCAGGTGCACATCCCAATAGAATGTCCTTGCTAAAAATCTATTGCCTTGAAAAGGTGGTTAAAAGATGGTTAAACCAAAGCTTCAGGAGTGTGACACATAGACGATGAGAAAATAAGAGTCTAAAGTGAAGGAAAATTCAAGCTACATTAAAATCTACAAAAAGCTAGAAATCTTAAAAGTTATAAGTCATCAATGCCTTTTAATAGTAAGTACAATTCACTTTATATAAGTAAATCAGAAGTTTGATTGATCTGTTTTTAGGTCAGAGGAAAGGCTCAATTAAATTCATGAATGTATATCTTGTTTCAAGAGGATTATGAAAACATAATCCAGAGCAGATAAATGTCAGATGATATATAATTTAAAGTATAAGTTTTTGATATCATATATGACTGCTACTCAAAGCAACTCACTGCAGAACTTGCAAAAAGAGAGAAAAATCAACCTGATTTAGTTCTGGGTCAAGGGCAGGATTTTGTTCAGAACACCCTTACCAAATATTGACTTTGTGATAGCAACCTATATCCTTACAGAAATAAGAGATACAGTTTTAACTATTCATAATAATATTGCTGGCCTTCAATTAGCAGTGGTAAATAAAAATGTGAATCTTATTAAAAAAGGAAATGAAAAAAAGCAGCTTGGCAGGATAAAATATTTCATGGAAAATAGATAAAGACACCACCGTAGCCAATCAGAATAAAAATAGCATTACAGCAAAAGCCCATCCAACAGGTTCCATCACTGAAAAAAAGGGCCATTTTATTTATAGGATGTATCCTAATTAAATGAAAGAGGAGGATCTTACAGCAAAAATAAATCAAGGATGGGGAAGTTATGAATAAATCAGGCCAGGAGAATCATTACCTTTCATAACATAAATATGAAACCATTAACAGTGCAGGACAAATAAAAGATTTGAGGAATGTCTTAGTAAGTACTCCAAGGCTATGAATAACTTTAGAGACTTATCATAAGCATGGAATCTGCCCAATAGCTGTACAGTTTTGCAATCCTGTGCCAAAGATTTGTGATTTCCAGGTGAATAGATCCTGTAGGTACAAAAAGGAGTGCTGTGGGAAGAAAAAGTCATCACAGAAAATTTGAGCATTTCAATGCCTTGATGTTCATAGCAGAGAAGCCAAGGAGGGCTTGTTTCTACGACAGACCATTCTTCACAGGAGATAAGTCTGAGGAATTGTTTCAGTCAGACATGATAATAAATCATTGTCAATTAGAGATCAATAAATTGAATAATAATAAATCACACAGATCATGTGATATTTGCTCAATATTTCAGTGTGAACTTGCCAACATGTTAAGTATATTACTTATACTTTCAATCAGCTTTACTGCCAGAGGAAAGGAAGATCACTGGTGGAATTTCAGCTTCCTAGAGGAATATAGGTTATTGTGCAACAATGCACAAAGAAAATTGATAAATTCTGAATTTTTTAGAATCTAGAATTAGAACATAGACTTATGTTAATAATCAAAAAAAACCCTCTAGACATCAAACGAAGGGTGATGAGGCAAACCGTTGAGTAGCTTCCGTATAAAAATACATAGTCAGCTATACATTATCCACCTTGAAAAGGGATAGCTTGGAGAGAATCTGATAGAGTGCTATGGGCTTTTGAAGGCTTGAAATTAAGTGGAAAAAAATTCTATTCACTTTTTCCTGCTAAAACACCAGAACTAGGTGATGCCCTTGAACTATCAAGCAACAGATTTAAAATAAGTGAGGGAAAATAACAGTTGTAAATTACATAACTTTGCCATGGCAATTAGCAGTAGCCAAAATGGGTTAAGAAATAATTTAAAAAACTACTAAAAGAACACCCATCAAAAGCTGGTGTATATGATGTTGGAGAGAATAATTTAATAAAATATAAATTACTGACTTTTGGAGGAAGTATTGAAGGATCATGCATCTACTCTATCTATATGGTCAGGATGCTTTCCCTATGCACCTGTGACTGGCCACTGTCAGAGGCAGGATTCGGCAGTGATGGACTGTTGCTCTGGCCAGTAGGGTCACCCCAATGCAACTGTGATTGCTACATTTCTAATGCTACAGCACATTAGCAGAAGAGGATGCTAAGACAATCAAATCATGTTCAGATAAACCAGGACAGTTAAAACTTTGCATCATATACCAGTTGTTGAATTTTGAAGTTGCAAAGTGTTTGTCAATAACTGAAATAATGCCAATTAAAAATTGACATTTTTATAAAACCAGTTGTGGCTATGATTTTTATATGTGAAAGGTGGGTTTTTCTTTAGTAGGAGAGAGTATTAGTTAGCTTTTTTAAACAAGACACCTGGTAGGCACATCATTTTAATTTAGAGGTTTACATTCATTTTATCATGTTACTCATTAAAGGCTCAGAGTACTGCAAATAAATTGGCCAAAATCTGAGGAAGAGATTATAAAATATTCAGACAAGGTACAGGGTTCATGGCACAGTTACTTCATAGTATCATTCAGATATGAATTTGCACATGATAATTGTTATTTGTTGTGACATTTGCCAGTGCCATGCCTGACTGTTACTTACTTAGAAGGCTAGTTTTATGCAATTTTTATTCTCATGACATATTTCTTCTGACAATCCTTTGCCTTCAGTCTTGAATTTATATATTCAAGCATTATAATCATGGAACATTCAAATAGGATATAAAAACACACTGAAATATTATATGACAGTGTGTTTGTGACTATCAAAATTTGCTTTTGAGTAAGTATTATGAATTCTTCCTTTAAAAATATTGCTTCTGACATTTATGGGTAAGAGCTTCCGTTGTCCCTTTAGAAATACATTCTGAAGAAAAAAAAAGAGACTGAAAAGAGGTATATGTGCTGTTACAACATCTGCTCTATATGGCATCTATAGTCACAGCTGCAACACATACTTCTAATACTTATCTCTGTCCCTTCCTTTAAAGGGGAAGAAATATATTTTTGTTTAGGTGAGAAAGGTCCAGAACTTTTTCACTTTGAACTGCTTAAGTTCTTTGCAGTGGCAGACACACATTCAGGCAGGTTTTAAAAATGCACAGTAGATTAGAAAACCTCTTTTTGTATGTGGCATTTTGTCTGATTGCCATGACACCACACTGAAAATCACAAAGCTTCTAAAAGTGCCGCAATGCAAATGTATTACCTCTGCGGTGGAGACTGCTGCCCTTTAAGAAAACAGTTTTCTTCCTTTGATAATATTTTGAGATATGTCCTGCTGCTGATCTTTTCAGAGTGCCGCTTTATCTTGCTTTCTCAATGACCTCCTGTAGAGGTAGGCTTCCTTCCCATCATATCATGCAGCGTGGAGCACATCAGGCTCTGCAGAGTTCCTTAAATATTTGGTTGAAAGTCAGCCCTGCCATCCAGGAAAGAACAAACACATAGTTTTATTCTTTGCTACACTTGAAGAAACTTGGAATAAAAAATAAAAAATAAAAAGCATATAAATAAATAAATAAAAAACCCCCACAAACAAACAACAAAAAAACCCCCACAAACAAACAACAAAAAAAACCCAACACCAAAAAAACCCAAAACAAACCCAAACAAAAAACCCCACACCACAGGAGCCACTTTCCCAGTATGATGGTGTTAATTTGTAACCCTGCAACTGTCTAATTTGTGCAAGTAGAGGCTTGCCAGTAGTAATAGCTGAATACTCAGGTGTGCATATTTCACTTACTTTGCAAAGCAGTAGAAAACAGATGCAGGCAAGTCATCTTTGTTTGGGTTGGGTTTTTTCTGCTGCTAACACTTTGTCATTGAATTATGGGCAGTGGTTTGGTGGGAAGCCTTGATCCTATTGAATAACGGCAAAACTGCTGTTGTTATCACTTCATTTGGGGAAATTAACGTGGAGTATTTTGGAACAAATCATGGAGACCAGAAGTCCCAAAGAAGCAAAGTCTTTCCTGCACTTTGGTTCTCCTTAAGCCAAAAGCCTGAACTTGGATAGAAAACACTGCTTTAGACAGACTATTTGGAAATCCAGAAGTAAACACAGCAGGACTTCAGTGCCACTGTTTACCTAGAGCTAACATTCATGATATGCACACAGCACATTCATAATTTGCTTAGAAACACACTCTAGGAAGTTTTCTAGGAAAACTTAGAAAAGTTGATAAAGCTATGGTATAGCCTCTGAATAGCTTCAAACCACTACAGTGTTTTAAAGAAAGTAAGGTGCTCTGCTCTCATACATGGAATTTTCTCTCCAAGAAGCAATCCTAAACTAAAAACATTTAACTTTGCATTAGAGAAATATTTGGCACTTCATTAAACTTCCAATAATTTTAATCCAAGAAGTCTAAGTTCCCAAAAGCACAAAGGACCCCTCTTTTATAACGTATAAAGAGATAGTGAGACTTTGGATTATGACAGTAAAACTGAAGCTTTTCATGGAATCATCACAGGGTCATAGAATGGCTTGGTTTGGAAGGGACCTGAAAGATCATCTAGTCCCAATGTCCCCATGAGTGAGGACACCTTCCACTTCAATTTTATAGATTTCTAAAGAACGCTTAATATATATTTTGCCCCACATGCTAAGTATTCAGTCTTTATGCACAAGGTGTTAATAATCACAAAAAGTGGCAGTAAAAATAGCATAAAAGAATGTTTTCTAACTAATTTTTCCATAAAATACGTAACAACCACATGCATTGCCAAAGTATGGCAAATTGTTTCTTAACAACAATTGGAAGACCTTCTATAATTCCTGCTTTTAAGGTGATTCTAAATGTCACTTTTATTTGACAAGTCTTCTTTATTGATCGTCTTCATTGCATGCCAACACAACATAGTTTTACCTGCATGCTGTGATTGTCTTTGCTTTGCACACATCTTTCTTCCAGGGTTTTTCTACCTTCTTTTAATTTTATTTGGTTCTACAAGCAAATGCATTTTTCATTTTATTCAAATGATAAAGTGTTTTTTGTGATTTGTTGGGCTCATGAGTCACTGTTACCAGAGCATCTGAGACCTTCCTTTATGATCTTACACAGATAAGATAAACACAACAATAATGTAGAGAAAAGTTCTTATTTTCTACATGGAAAACAGAGAAACCACACTGCTAAAGCATAAATGAAAGAAGCACTGGACTGGCTTTTCCACTAATAAGCCTTCCTTTCTCTGATGAGTGCCAGTGATATAGAATCATTAAGGTTGAAAAAGACCTCTAAGATCATCAAGTCCAACCATTAACCTAGCATTGCTCATCCTAAATATATATTTTCACCCCTGCGTCAAGGTGCATAGATTTAGCTTGTAGTTGCCTATCTAAGCAAAGAGACATATTACTGGAAGCATAGTATGTGTAAAAATACATTTTAATTCAGTTTTGATTAGTTTCTACCTCAATCTCAATTATATGTGCCACAAATATCTTTATTAACTTAATAAGTATTCTTTGCTTGTAATTTCAATGTTAATGAAAGACAACTTAATTGCTTTTAGAAATTTACTGTTATTGTATTTTCTGTGACTTATCAAGTGAATATTGTGTACATCAATCATTGTTTTAGTGTTGAAAAAATTTTCAATTACAAGAATAACTCACATTTTAATAACACTAAATGGTGTTTCACTATGTAAGAGTCCATTGTCAAGATGCATAATATTCAGATTTCCTTTCATTTAATAGCAGAGCCAATGAAGAGAAAAAAAGGATATATAACTTTAGTACCTTCATATTTTCATTTCTGTTAAATATCATGCTGAGTATGGTTCACATTTATCAATTTGAGTATGCAGTAGTTATGGGCTATGCTTTTGTGTATGTAATTTCTTTTATTAATTTTCCCACAAATCAAATTATATGAGAATAAAAAAGGGGAATAAAGATAACAGTTTCATAAATATCTTAAGGCCAAATCAGAAATTATGTTACGAATCATTGCTATATTATTCTTTTTCTCTCTCTTTCAGCTGGAGAATGAGGAATCATTAATTCTCATATAACTTTACTTTTCCTCTCAAAATAAATCAAACAATGATTTAAATGGTTTCCAGCCTTCTTTTCATATGCTTCCTGTCTGCATTACATAAGAAATAAAAATTAAGGTTGGGGCTTTTTTTTGTGAAAAAAGTGCATATATTTCAAAAGCACTTGCAATCACAAAAACATACACAAAACCAAATTCCTGTCTTTAAGAAGAAGACTGTATCAGAGCTTTGTGCACCCAGTGAGATCTTAAGCCTGATTATAAAAAGTGATAGAGAAAAATGAGCATTTCAGATGTCATGTTTCCTACCTTTTTAAATGGAGGTAGCTGAAGCCTAGTTTCACAAAGAAGGGCTGTTTTACACTTCTGAGCAGCTTTACCCAATGACTTTTTGCTGCAAACTGTGCCAAGGAACTACTGATAGTAGATAAATTAATTTTGTCTTCAACTGCTTTGTCAATCAGTGTAAGAAGACATTAAATCACAATAGAAAATACGTTGTAATACAGTGATTATTTCCCTGGGATATCATAAAGCATGAAGAGCAGCCAAGGGTTTCATACAGTACAGGACAGTAATTATCTCATGACAAGTGTGGTCCCTGGAGATCACTTTAAAGCTACTTTAAAGGTATTGCGAAGAAAAGCTTTATATATGCTATACTAGAAGATGACAAAGACGGCCCTTTAAAGTCACAAAAATGAGCTTTAGCTGGCTGTGAGGTACACACTGATTAATTTAAAGTGTTAACAGCCAATTGAATGCTTCTTTAGTTGAAGCATATTTATTACAAGAATGTAACAACCAGTTAATCACACTTCGAAGCACAGTATAAGAAAGAAGTTGAAAAGCAACAATCTTCTCTTTCTTTCAGTCATTCAGCTTCATATAAAACACTTCCCTTGTGGTTTTGCCTCCTGAAACTAATTTGAAAATTCAGGGGCATTTTTCCTATTTGAAAAAAAAAAACAAACCACCGTATTTGACAAAAATGCAGAATATTGCTAAAGGAGGATTGTTGAAGCCATGGTTTCAGTTCTGGGGAATGTCAATGACTGACCTATATTGAAATCAGTTTACAACTCCTGCAATAAGATATCCAACCACTTCACCATATGCTTCATTCCCCTCTTGCAATACACATTTGCTTACACAGTTCTAACACCAGACTATTTTAATATCCTTGGAAAACTGCATATGGTTACTGTTTTTCCTCTTAACACAAGGAAAACTAAAGTATTTTTTCTTTAGCCTAAAAATTTCCTTTTCACTGAATATACTTGATTTCTATTTCTATCAAAATAAACTAAGTCATAAATATAGCACGTGGGCTTCAGTGTGTGTGTATGTGTAGGAATTTTTTTCCTGAACCGTCTGCTTTCCTTGAAAATGTGACCTTCATGAAGCATACAGAAAAGTGAATTGCTGTATGCATAAATATTTTCATGCACACTTTTTGTGTGAAAAAAATCTTTAAAAATTACCATCATAGTTGAAAAAATCAGCAAATTAATTAAATTATAATACCTATGTATTAATAGTTCAGTGCTAAACAGGCTTTAAAAGGGAATTCTGTAACTTGATGTTTAGAAAAATATAACTACAAAATACATGCCCATTTGGAGATTTAAGACAGGATATTATCCTCACTTTTATCAAGAATCATATGAAGACAAGGATAGTAGCAAACACCTGTGGATGCAATATACATTCTTCATGCATAATAAAGTCAGGGGATCAAAAAACTGCATGCTGCAATATTGATTACTCATTTGCATTACACAGAAATAAAAAAAATGGTAATAACACATTTACAATTTTTGTAAGATACCTTAGGGCAGATGACGATATTGAAACAGAAGAGGGAGAAAAAAAAAGGGGAATATGATTTTGAGGATATTATTTACAGATAATATTTTTGAAGTGCCAGTGAATTTGTATTTCCTTATTTTTTCTTTTCTGTAACCAGTCTCACTGAGATATAAGAATAGAAAAGGCATTACTTTGTTGCCAGTATTCTTGTCACATTTTTTTTTATAAAGGACTAAAATACATATTAATTACTAAAACATATAAAGACCCCTTAACAGAAATAGAGGACTTATCATAAAAGAAGAAATCAGAAGTTCATTTCAAAAAAGGTGAAGTTCATCCTTGGAGAAGGGTCAGCACATAGACCATGTCCCATTAAGGTTTTAATTTGACAACTTCGTTGAGTCTCCCAGGATGACTTTCACACAGGATAATGGAACATCACACAATATGTCGATTTGGAAGGGACCCTCAAGGATCAAGTACAATTCCTGGTCCTGGACTCTTGGACCATCCCCAAGAGTCACACCATGTGCCTGAGAACATTGTCCAAACACTTCTTGCTCTGTCAAACTTGGTGCTGTGATAACTTCCCTGAGGATCCTGTTCAAGTGCCCAACCACTCTCTTGGTGAAGACTCTTTTTCTAATATCCAACCTAAACCTGCCTTGACACACTTGCAGGCCATTCCCTTGGGCCCTGTCACTGGTCACCACAGGGAAGAGATCAGTGTCTGCCCCTCCTCTTCTCCTCAGGAGGAAGTTGTAGACTGCAATGAAGTCTCCCCTCAGTCTCCTCTTCTCCAGGCTGAACACACCAAGTGACCTCAGCCCCTCTTCACACATCTTCCCCTCACGACCCTTGACATCTTCATTGCCTTCCTTTGGACAGTCTCTAGTAGCTTAATGTCTTTCTTATATTCTGGTGCCCAAAACTGCACACAATATTCAAGGTGAGGCCACCCCAGTGCAGACACCCCAGTGCGGACAATCAACTCCCTCAACCGGCTGGTGATGCTTTGCCTTGTGCCTCCCTGGACACGGTTGGCCCTCCTGGCTACCAGGGCACTGCTGACTCATATTCAACTTACCACTGACCAGGTCCCCCAAGTCTCTTTCCACAGCACTGCTTTCCAGCATGTCATTCCCTAGTCATACATCAGGGGTTGCTCCATTCCAGGTGCAGAATCCGACACTTCCCATTCTTGAACTTGATATGGTTGGTGATTGCCCAGTCCTCTTATTTGTTGAGGTCTTTCCACAGTACCTTCCTGCCTTCAAGGGAGTCAACAGCTCCTCCCAATTTTGTGTTATCTTTAAAGTTGTTTAGGATCCCTTCCAGTCCTGCATACAAGTTGCTTATTGTGATGGTTCGGACTTGGCTCCCTGCCAAATGCCCAACCCCCCCCCTCCCCCAGTAGCAGTCCCTCTCTTCCCCCTTCCTACTTCCCCCAGGGCAAAGGAAAAAAAAAACTATGCAAATTGAAGAACTCGAAAACCAAGCTAGTTATATAAAAAATATATTTTATGTATATTACAGTTAAGATGCTATGTACACAGCAAATGGGAATCCAAACACCCCCCGAAGGGATAGGGAAAGGGGAAAAAAGGGACAAAAGGAAACAAAGAGGGACACCGAATAGATATGCGCAATCAAACCCAAGAACTAGTAAAATAACTAGTAAAACAAATCTCACCACGTCCCTTAGAAAGCAGGCTTGGCAGACACAGCCAGCACTCTCCAAGCTTCCACGTGGCAGGTTAGTGGATGCTGCAGGCCTCAACCTTAGATAAGCGAGACCAACGCAGGGACCCACTGTTCCCGAACTTCGGCGGAAGAGAAGAAGAACGAAGGCCGCTTCTCCCGTCTTATTTATACCACGATTTACGTAAAAATTGTATGGAATACTGGGAACACTGCCCCTTCCTTGGTTACAAACTGGTAACCAGGGAAGGCCTAGATTAAAACCACCACATTTATGAAGATGTTGAAGAGCACAGGCTGAAGATGGAGCCCTGTGGAACCCCACTAGTGACGGGTTGCCAGTCTGTTGTTACCCTGTTCACTATTACTCTCTGTGCTCGACCAGTGAGCCAATTGCTCACCCACCACATGATGTGCTGTGTGTCCAGCTGTGTGCTGAATTTTT